GTTAGGTATATCCTATTTAAAAATAGATTATTTTTATTCAAGATTTAAGGACTAATGTTTATAAAAAGGGGAAGAGATTAAGTGTTACCCAAAGGCTTGACATGAAACTCATTTGTAAGAATATTTTTCACTTTATGGAGAAAAACGTATTCAACAATGATAAATTCTTGAGAAAAAAATTGTCCTGATGTCAGTATGGTTTTTTTCAGATACTGATGTCAATGGTTTTTTTTTTTGCAGAAGGAAGCATGTTTTGCTTTTTATCTTATTTTCTTATTTTCATTTCCTCCTCAAAGTTGTGGGAGCCTAAGTTAGATATATTGTGCAAATTAATAAATGTGTGTGCCTGGAAATACGAGCAGTTCCTTTTTGTTAACTTCCCTCTTTGCCTTTTTGAGAACCTTCTTTAAGTTTGGAGTTTGACCTCTTGTCATGTGGATTTACAAAAATAGGAAGTGTTTTCAGGCAAATGAATATATTTCTCCATCATTGGTATTGTTAGGAACAGAAGATTTCTAATGAAATTGGTGGACAGGAAATTCATGACAAAATAGAGTCCTGTTTGCATTCAAATGGATGGATGAAGAAGTATCTTCCATTTTTAAACCTGGATAAAATTGAGGTTCTAAGCGGGAATGAAGAGCTGGGAATTCTGTATATTGTAGTTGCAGCCCATCTGGAGACTCTTGGGTTGACTGCCCTACATATTGTGGTTAATATGGAGCAATCAGGACTCTGCACACTGTTCCAAATGTAGTTTACACAATGACACATGATACTTGCTGATTGGTTTCTGACCAATAACCTTTTTGTTCCCACCATTAGCTTTTGGGGGAAAGATGAACCCAACAATATTGGATCGGGTGAGGACTGTGCTACCGTTCGCTTCTCTGGGAAATGGAATGATGTCAACTGCTCTAGAAAGGAACTCTCGATCTGTGAAAAGAAGTGCTAGCCATGCTCCTGTCCACGGCAGCCCTTTGCACCACTGCTATTGTATTAGTCTGGAGGTCTCCAGAATCATGTTCATATGACCCTTTTAAAGACCTTCATCCTCTTTGTCTCCCCCCCCAGCTTTTATGTACTCTCATCTTGAATATTGACTACATCTTTTGCATTTCTCTTGGGGTTCACAAACACAGAGTCATAGAGAAACAGTTGCATGCAAATAGGTCTTCCTTCCTTCAAAGCAAGGGAACAACTGTTGCTTGCTTGAACTTTATTTAAACTGCATCTGTGATCAGCTTCCTATTGTGTCCCAAGGGAATTGAATGCACTGCTTGTATGTGTATGCTCTGAGGATATTTGCTACTTAACATAAAAAGTTAAAATATGTTTTTATATTATGCTATTATGATTTTGTGTATCTGGGGGCAGGGCGCTAAGACTTCCTTCTTCCACATATATGTAAGCAGTGTTGCTTCCATCCTGATGGAGTAACAGGTGGAGAAAAAAATGCTGTTGGAGGTAAAACCACAGAAAACTCTTGCTCCTAAAGATTTCATGTCTCTTCTCTCTGCTTTCCACCTCAGCCTCTGCTGCAGTTAAGTGGCACCTTCATTCAAGGAAAACTATTTTTAATCAGCATTTATCCACAATATTTGCAAATCAAATATCTTGGCATTAGCTGCCGAAACTGTGCTTGTTCTCAATTATGCTCAAACAAGTTTCACAGACAATTCTCTCCTCTGAATTATTTTTTTGTTTTACTCAGAAAATATGTACAAGGGTATATAAACCAATAAATCAATTAAAACAGAGAATGCGTGTTGGTGAAAAATCATTAATTAATGAATGACATTTCAAGAAGGAACCATTAAACATTTGACCAAATACATTGTTTGGAAATCATATTTAATTTTTATTAAAATATAAATGTTATGTTAACTATGTTAGCCAATGTAAATCCAGTCTGTGATAGATGAAACTTGTGGCTTAAGAGTAGTTCAACCAGACAGCTCTTTTTATTTATTTATTCAATTTCTATAGCCATCCATCTCAGCCAAGTGACTCAGGGCATCTTATAATTCTAAATTATAAAACAATTAAAAACAACCTTAAAACAATAAAAACACCCACAAAATAAATAAGTACAAACCACAGTTGAGATTATTAACCCTCTAATAGTAAAGCCAAGTAATCCTTAATGCATTCCGAGTCCCAGACCCTGATACATAGTCAAATTTTTCTAGCCTTTTGAAAGTCCAGCAGGGCTGGGGCCAGTGATGGGATTCAATTTTTTTTACTACCGGTTCTGTGGGTGTGGCAGGGGAAGGATACTGTAAAATCTCCAGTCAGAGGTGGTATTTGCCGTTTCTCCAAACTACTCAAATTTCCACTACTGGTTCTCCAGAACTGGTCAGAACCTGCTGAATACCACCTCTGGTTGGGGCCATTCTAATCTCTGAGGAGAGATTATTCCATAAAGCAGGGGTTACAGCAGAGAAAGTCCATCTTTTATATCCCACCAGTTGACACTCTTTGGCTGATGGAATCTGCAGCATGCCCGATCTGTTGGAATGAGTTGAATCGGTAGAAACTCTTAGGGGAAAAAAGCTTCCTCAGGGAACCTGGTCCCAAGCCATGTAAGTCTTTAAAGGTGATAATCAGCACCTTGAGTTGCATCTGGAAACACAGTGGCAGCCAGTGTTGCTCACAGAGTAGTGGTGTTACATGCGCCATGCAGCTGTCACAAAATTTTTTATCACCCATGCAGCAGCACTTTGTACCAGTTGACAGCACCATGTAGAGCATCTGAGTAATCCAAGTGAGAGATTAGAAGGGCATGAGTGATGATGAGCAAGGCTTCCCAATCCAGGAATGTGTGCAACTGGCGCATTACTGGAAGGTGCTCAAAGGCTCTCCTAGCCACAATACAGTGCCACCTGGAGCTGGCCTATGCCCCTGAGAGTCAAGAAAAACCAATATCTTCATTCTGCTCTCACCAGACATCATCCATAGTGTGATCAATGTTGTTTTAGTCCCAGACCCCGGCCTGAACCCCAACTGAAAGGGGTCTAGATAATCAACTTCAACCAGGATTCTTTGCAGCTGCCACACTTTCCTGGCAAGCTTCCCTAAGAAGGGAAGACTGGAAACTGGGCAAAAACTGTCCAGCTTGGTTGGGTTGAGCAATTGTCCTTTGAGGAAGGGGTGCACCACTACCTCTTTAAGACCTGGTGGGGCCACACTATCGTTCAAGAGGGAATTAACTACCATCAAAATCCAATCCTGTGTCCCTTCCCACACAACTTTAATAAGCCAGGCAGGGCATGGATTTAATACACAAGTGGCTGAACTAGCAGCTGAGAAGGCCTTGTATTCCATGGCTCAAACTCTTCTCAAGTTACCTTGTATAACATAACCCCCACCACCTCCACAGATTCTGCTTTAAAACTGGAGTCCAATGTAGAGCAAATGTGGATCACTTTGTCTGCCAGATGTGCAGCATATTCCTCACAGCAACCGTTTAGATGAACTTCAAGGAGGGACCAAGTTACCTGAAACAAGGCACTGGGCGACTATCAGCAGATGGAACAAGGGCAAAGAAATTGTGATGACTCGGGGCATGGCACAAAGGCAACACAGTCAAATAAGCAATAAGAGTCCCTTTATTATCTCCAACTTTGCCCCCAATGTCCAGGTTACCTTCGGCTGGAGAAAAACTCTCTCAGGAACAGCCTTCAGCTGTAGAAAATTCAGTCCAAAACAAGGTACATACAAACTGTAACTAAAAATCCAAAGAAACCAAGATGAAGTAATTAACTTGACAGGGGAGGAGAAGGAATTTCAGACTTGAAAGCACGGCAAAACTCACAGTTGGAAAAATGCCAGAAACACAGATAAGCCACGATGATACAAGATAAATTCACGTTTGCTCCCAACAACTTGCTGTGCGCAGCTTCCTCTTTTATACACTCTGTTCCCAGCTGCAGCTAATGAAGGGAATCAGGGTCCTTTCCTCCCCCGTAAGCCACGTAACTCACATTGCTCCCTTCTCCGTTCCTCCCTGCGTGCCCTAGGATGAAGAGGGGGTGGGCCTGGGTCTTCCTCTGAATTCCCTCTCCCTTGCACTACCTCTACCCTGCTCTGCCCAGCCGGACTTTGCCCTTCTCCAATTTCTTCCACAGCCAACGGAGCCACACTGCCACTCCCTGTCAGCTATTCGGCTTCCTCCTCCAAGTCAGATTCCGACAGGTACCACAGAAATAGAGATACTTGTTACAACATTCTATTTCCCACTCTTGTTGAACAGTACATAGGGAGGACAAGAGAGGAACATTTTTGGGTTAGAACTTGGGTGGATTGGCTCCAATAGTTAGAGGTTGATGTATGTTTTCTGGCAAGAATATGAGAGCGGGAATTTATTTCTTAAAAGACACATATATTTATCACATTTATGTCCTATGGTTAAGAATTCAAACTTCCTGCCCAATTCCTATTTTATGCTCTAAAATGGGTTCAGCAATAAGATAGGAACTTGTTCTTGGCCCCCCCACAAATTTTATAGCCAAATAAGGGTTTGTATCTGGATGTGTCTCACCATTCTCCACATAGTTCTGCAGTACATTTGATGCAAGCAGCCCTTGATCTTTTCTGTCAACTGATATGATTGTATAAATGTGTGGCAGTCGATGTATGCAATTTAATCAGTTTCATTCAAAAGCTACAATTGATCTGTCTAGATTCATGTCAAAATTATGGTTCATATATCATGCTAAGCTAAAATAACATTTGTTTGTCTTTGAATTAGCATGCTGCATAAACAAGCTACTGTGGTTTATAAACTCTGATTTACCATATTTCCATCTTTTTAGGTATTACTGCAGGTTAACATTTGTAGAAGAAATAGCAAAATTTCAAAGTTAATAAGAAGCATCTTGTTAATACTACCAAATATTCAAACATCTGACAGTATTTGCATAGTGGCACTCAAAATAGCTTTGCTGAAAGGAAATAACTGAAAGTAAGGCTTACTGAACCTTAGTGAAGTTGTAACACCTAGGATGCAGTAGTAGAATACTTAATTCACCTAGAAGTCTTGGAAACAGTTTCTTGATTAACATTCACACAGCCAAGAGGAATGGATGCAAAGAATCAACATGCAAAAAGGCCACCAGCTCAACTGCCAAAGATACCATCACAGCCAACAGGTAGGACCAGCCTGGACCTGATGGGACTGGAAGGGAAAGCTAGGGGTAGTGTATTCCTACCACAAGTGGGATGCCAGATCAGCCTCCTCCAGATGCAGGGACCAACCTCTAGAACTCTCGTGACCATGCTGCTTGGGAGATCCAGAGAGTTAAATAGCTGCATTTTGTGTATGTAGTGAGACTGGTGAAATCTGATGAGGACTATGCTCACTAGAATGTATATCAAAATAAAAGGTCCTGCAGTGTGCCAGAATACTGTGGCATTTCAAAAATGGAAATCTGTTCTAAATCGTGACGATCCCTTATCATGCTTTGACAGATAAATATCTCCTAGTCCCCCTTTTAAGAATGGGATAAACCTGACCCACATCAGGTTTGTAGCTTGGTAGTACAACTCTCAATTAGGCAAACCAAATCCTCCTCTAGTTCTAGCATAACTTTATTCTCGCTTTCTTACCTTGCCATATATATTTCAACACAATTTTATTTAAATCTTCAAAATAGTCTTTTCCAAGCCTAACTGGAATTGTTTGGAACAGATATAAGATTCTGGGTAATATATTCATCTTGATTGTTGAAATTCTCCCTATTAGTGACAGTTGTAGATTTTCCCATTTCGCCAAGTCTAGCGCTATCTGCTGTTTAAGTTTGATATAATTATTCTCTTTTAATGTACTACATCTTGCTGTCAAATATATCCCCAAATACTTGATCTTATTCGTGACTTGAATTTTCAATAGATCTGCCAATTCTTCCCTTTGTCTTGATAACATATTCTTTGTCAAAATCTTTGTCTTATCTTTATTTATTTTCAAACCAGCCACCTTGCCATATGCCTCTATCTTTTCCAATAATTTTGGCGCTGTTTCTAAAGGGTTTTCTAAGATAAAAACCAAATCATCCGCAAAGGCTTGCAGCTTAAATTCTTCCTTTTTAATTTTCATTCCTTTTATACTCTTTTCATCTCTAATATTTCTGTTTAACACTTCCAAAGTTAACACAAACAACAAAGGTGATAGTGGGCACCCTTGTCTTGTTCCTTTTCTTATATTGATAGAGTCTGTCAGTTCTCCCTCTATCATTACCTTTGCCGTTTGCTTATAGTATATAGCTTCTATTGCTTGAATAAATTTTCTAGCAAAACCCATCTGTTCCAACAATAATAACATAAATCGTCAATTCACATTATCAAATGCCTTTTGTGCATCTAGAAATATCAAAGCCATTTGTTTTTCAGGATGTGCCTCATAGCATTCCAAGGTATCCAAAATTACTCTCATATTATCTTTAATTTGTCTCTTTGGCAGAAATCCATTTTGGTCAGAATGAATAAAATTATTTAAATATTTTTTAAGTCTTTCTGCCAATATTGAAGCAAAAATTTTATAATCTGCATTTAGTAGAGAAATAGGTCTATAGTTCTTAATTTGCAATAGATCAGCCTCCTCTTTTGGAATGAGTGTGATATAGGCTTCTGACCATGATTTGGGTATCTTCTTCTTCTTCTTCTTTTTTTTTTTTTTGAAAATTTTATTGATTTTTAAAAACAAACATAAACAAAACAATACATAAAACATAAAACATCCTTTTTGAAAGCAGCCTGATCCCAGGTTACATCTCTTCGTGCAGACACAAATTCAAGTTCATGCTCATTTTTATATTCCATTCCATATCTTATTATCATTCTACATTTTATATATAACTTCTCCCCTCTTTCGACTTTCTTGATTTTATTTTATTTATTTCATCTCAATTCAAATCATCATGTTTATATTCTTTGTCCTGTTTCAGCTGTCTATTATCTTTTCTCATTAAGCAAATTTTCTCCTGTAATCACTAATTGGAGTATGACACCTTTATATCTTTCCCCTAAAATTATAACACTCAATGTAATACATAACTTCCGTTTGGATTCTGCTTGGTACATTCTAAAACTACACAATGTATTTTAAAAAGAGAAAAAAATTATAAATATATAACATAATTAAAACAACAATCCATACCAATTCAATTCTATCATTAATATTGATATTCATTTAAGTCTTGAACATTTTACACATTACTTTTCAAATAAGTATCATACTTCTATGGGAACATTTATAAACTTTCCATAATTACTTCCCTCCCACTTCACTTATATTTTATAAAACATTGAGTAGTTAAAATGTTCCCATTCCTTCCTAATGCAATTCTCTCATTTATTTCATTTCATTTATTTTATTCACAAAAATTTCACTAACTTACACAAACTATTTTATTCCACTTTTTAATCATATGTTGTTTCCAATTTTCTAACATTATTTCTATTACAAATATAACAATACAATCTTATGTACCTTTACAGAATCCCTTTTTCAGTTAAATTTTCACCCATTATCTCTGAATAAATCCTGTTTCTTTACATCTTGCTCCAAACCTTTGTAACTTCTCTTCCCTTTCTTCTTCTTCTCTCTCCCCTTCTAACCCCCCCGTCTCTCCACCTCCATTTCCCTCTCCTGTATTCCCCTTTACTGTTGCTTTCCAACATTATATCCCCTTTTCACATTATTTTTCCCGTTTTTGGCTGTTTTTTTAGGTCTTAAATTCTCCATTCTCTTTCCCCCCTTTCCCCTTTCTTCCCAAATAGAATTACTTGTTCATTAAGAATGGCTTCTTCTTCATCCCAATCTTCTTGTTGCGCAGTCTTTTCTTGCTGTTTCTTGTAAACACCAATCGCCATTTCTAAGAATTGAAAAGTAGAGCCAAGAGAGCCCTTCCCTTCTTGTTCCTCTTCTTTATATTTTTTAAATTCGATTTTCAATTTGCCCAGTTCATTCAGTCCATCCAGAAGTAATACCATTGTAGAATTTTTTTTAAACAACCAGCCAATTGTTTTTAGTCATTCAAATATGATTTCCAAAAATCCCAAAGTCACCAAACAATCCAAATACACACAAGCTGTTTCTTTTAACACTTTCTTCTCTTCTTGGGGTTACTATTTAGTTGCAGAATTCCAGTTAAAATGTATCCTTTAGAAGTCTTGTTAAGATTTAACTTTAAATTCTTTTAAATTCCAAGCAGTCTCCTCCTTCCAAGTCCTGCTCTTATTCTTTTCGTCTCCCTTCCCACTTATAGCAAAAAAAAAAAAAAAAAAAGATTTTTTAATATTCAGAAATCTTTATTGTCCCTTTGGCATTTAATTATATTTCCAGTTTAATTACCTGTTAGTGCCAAAGTGGATTTTCCGATTTCTTTATTCAGATCTTCTCATTGTCAGCGTGAGGAAGGAGAGTGAAGAAAACAAAAACTTTCCCTTTTTACTTTTGTTCGCTGCTTCCTACTCTTCTTTGGGAGCGATGTATCTTTTGCAAAATTTAAATTCTAGGGTACCTTAATCGTTGCTTTTTGTCCTGGTCAGCCAAAAACTTTCACTTCTTAACTTCCTCCTGCACTTTCTTTTTCGGCTGAGTGCTTCTTTGAGGCAGCCATTTCTGACCACCGCTCTTACCGCCTTCGTAAAAGGGAGTTTAGCCAGCTGAGGAGGAGAGGTGCGGCTCCCCTCGACCCTGCCAGATCTCCCCTGTCTTCACCACCTCTATGGGTTGGCTTAGCCTCGAAGCCGGCCGGCTCAGGGCACTCCAGTGGCGAGCCCAGCAGAAACCATGCACGATCGCGGATTCCTACCTGCCGCCGAAGCGCTGCAAACCAGAACTCCTCGGGTATCTTCTTCTTTAACATAACTTCATTCATAACTTTTAGCAATGGGAGATTCAACAATTCTTGTAATGTTTTATAAAATTCTGCCAGAAGTCCATCTAGGCCTGGTGCCTTTCCATTATTTTGCTTCTTAAGTGCTTCAGTTAACTCCATCATAGTTATATTGCTTTCTAACATTTTTTTCAGTCTCTTTAGGTATCTTGGGTAAATTAGCATTCTGTAAATACTGCTTAACTCTTTCCTCATCAATATTCTCTTGCTTATATAATTTCCCATAAAAGTCTCGAATGATTTCCTTCTTCTCTTTACTGCCATGGCAAACTTGGCCTTGATTATCTATTAACTGCAATATTTTCCTTGATTCTTTCTCAGTTTATATGCTAACCATCTACCTGGTTTGTTTGCGTCTTCAAAGTAGTTCTGTTTAGCACCTCTAATTTTCTGTGCTAATTCTTCTTTCTCTATTTGACCCATTTTGTGTTTAATTATATCCATTTTTAGCTTGATGTCCTTTTTCTGTGGCATTTTCTGTAGCTCTTTTTCAAGTCTTTTATGCTCATCCTCTAGAGCCTTAGAGGCTTGCCTTTTCCTAGTATTCCTTTTCCTTGTATAATCTATTATCAAGCCTCTAGCATATGCCTTCATTGTATCCCATACATTCTAAATTGATGTATCTTCTTTTTTATTTTCTCTAAAGAAAAAGGCCAATTCTTTCTCCATCCGCTGTGTGAAGTCTTTTTCCTTTAAAATAGTATTATTTAGCGTCCATCTCAATCTTCTTTTTTGTCCTTTCCATTTAATTGTCATTGGATTGTGGTCTGCCCAAGTACTTGTTTCAATATTTATTTCTTGGATATTAGATATTAATTCTGTTGACATCCATATCATATCTATTCTGGACCATGATAAATGTCTATTTGAATAGAAGATGTATTGTTTAGTTTTAGCATTTCTTTCTCTCCATGTATCTTTTAAATTTAATTCATCAACCATTTAAAAAAAGGATTTTGGGAGAGTCTTTCTGTTTTGCTTTGTTGTTGTTGCTGTATAGTCCAATTTATTGTCTACAATTCCATTAAAATCTCCCATCATAACTATATTGGCATAGTCCAGTTCAATTATTTTCATATGTAATTTTTTATAAAAATTTTCTTGTTTGTCATTTGGAGCATAGATTGCAATCAGGAGTGTTTTCATATTATTGTCCATTATTTCCATCATTAGTACTCTTCCATCTTCATCAGTATAGATCAATTTTGCTGGGGTGGTCTCTTTAATATATAAAACCACTCCTCTTTTCTTAC